TAGAAGATGGTTCCTCAATCCCAATGGGTAAAGTGAAACGTGATTTCTACATGGATTTACATTTCCCCTGAAGTAGCAGGAATGCTGCCCATCTGTTTTTGAGCCCAGCTTTGACCTATAAATACCCCACCAATTTAAGGACCACCATACAAAACTGCTGAAACCCTGACATCAGACACCTGAAGGCCCTCTTCTCTGTGTGTCCTGTCCAATAAATTTTCCACGCTAGTACCATCCACTGGGCTAGATGTAATTAAGAAGGCAGGTAGGTGAGGGCTCTCTGGGGACAGACTGGGGCTAGTGAAGTAGTGTCCCAATTGCACTAATGGACCATTCCTCCTAGATTAAGACCTTCCAGTTTATGAATAATCTTGTGCTGAAACATTGTGCTAAATCAGGATCCATAAAATGAAACATTCCTTTGCTGGAATAAGGTAAAATGATCCAAATCATTTAGCAAAAGCGAGGAGTTGGGTTTTTTTAATCTATAAAATAGAAAAGCATGAGCTACAGTAGCCTGAAAACAAAACAAAAAAAGAAGCAAGGGATGTGGATAATGGAGATCGTAGTAGGCTTTCATATTTTACTACCTCTCTCATGGGTTATATTAAAAAACAAAACAAAAAAGAGAGATTACCTTCAAGTAGTTTCTGCCCTTTTTATTTAATTCTGAAGACTGGTTCCCTGAGTTTACCCAAGATACATTATACATTAAGAGGTTGCAGGAAACCACTTTATCTCTGAGAGGAAGAAAATTAGTGCTAGCACACAGATATTTGCCAAAAAAAACTTCACAGAGTTAAAGGCCTCTTTACATTCACAATATTTCAGCAAGAAATGTCGCCTACAGAATAGTATTAAAACAAGCCAAACACTATAGATTAAGCAGTTCCTTTGGAAGAGAACATTTAGCTGAAAATGCATGCATAATTTAGGATAATGAAATTAGATTGCACCAACCTCTAGGACTAAGACATTATCTAATAACATCCTCTGTCATGGAGACCCAAAATCAACAGGCACAAGATGCTTTTATTACCTCTGTGAAGTATTATTCTCTGGAGGTGGGAGTACCCTAAACAAAACCAACTTCAAAATAGCAAGAGGTAGGGAGGAAGAGAGATGTAATTTAACATACACTAAATTACAAGTTAATAAGGATGGTATCTTAATGAAACTTAAGGGGCTGATGAACCACCTTGCTGTTGATTTATATTTAGAAATAAATTGGCTTTGCATGAATGGAATCCCAATGCTAAGCTCCTTGTTTCAGGAATGAGTTGCAGAGGGAGGCAAACCTGGTTGTCCAACCATGTTGAGCAAAAAGGAATTTAAGTGCCAAGGAAACAGATGTGATGTGAGAGATTTGTGACAAGATCTCCAGATGTTCTTTTAAAAAGACGTAAAAGCAACTGGGATAGTGACACAGAAAGAAGGAATGCTAAACCTACTATCCCTGTATTATTTTCCAGGCCTACCTTCCCATCCATTGATTGTTCTGGGGATGCAATCACACTACAAGCTCCCACAAGAATTAGTGATAGCCAGGAATTAGCATGGCTTTAGAAGAGGACTAGACAATAAGGCTATCAATGGCTACTAGCCAAAAGGCTGTTCTACCTCCACTGTTGGAGGCAATATGCCTCAAAATTCTAGTTGCTGGGAATCACAGGTGAGGTTGCACAGTGGTCCTATTTTCAGGCCCCCAAATGGCATCTGTTAGCCATTGCAGGAGCAGGACACTGGCCTAGATGGGCTATTGGTCTGATCCAGAAAGCTCCTTATCTTCTAACAAGACCCCCCCCCCCACACACATTTGCACAGCTAAATAGAATATTTGGTGGAAGAAGAAGGTAACAGTTTAGTGGTGCCAGAAGCAAAGAGTGCCAATGTTAAGCAAGGGTCAAGTTCCATGTACCGGAACCACAGACCAAAAGTATCTGAAGCAGGTAACACAATCCAAGGAAGCAGAAGGTTACAAGGGCTGGGTACTCTCTGATGAACTGGCTTCCAAAGTTTGGAACCAAAGTTTGGTGTTAGATAAGTACTGATGGAAACAGACCAAGACTTGAAGTCAGCTGATTGAGTGCTGCCACTTTGTGTTTCTGCTAGATGACTCCTCCATCAGTGCCTTGCATTCACATTTCCCAATAGGGGTACAGTGGTACTTCGGGTTACATATGCTTCAGGTTACATACGCTTCAAGTTACAGACTCCGCTAACCCAGAAATAGTACCTTGGGTTAAGAACTTTGCTTCAGGATGAGAATAGAAATTGTGCAGCAGCAGTGGGAGGCCCCATTAGCTAAAGTGGTACCTCAGGTTAAGAACAGTTTCAGATTAAGAACGGACCTCCAGAATGAATTAAGTTCTTAACCTGAGGTACCACTGTATCATCAACTTGCAGATGACAAGGCATTCCATTAAAAAAAAAAAAAAATTATTAAGTTTTTCATCGCGAACAATCCAATGGAGGCCACATTACTACAATGTTCATGCCAAATCACAATACAATCAAAAAAATAAATTAATCAGTTCCGAATTCAATGTTTTTGGATGACTTCCTGTGTTCCGGTTATCTGAAGTTGGTGTTAATCCTTGGTCCTTCTCCAGTTCTCTTAATTAGTACAAATTCCACAATTCTGAACTTTGCTTCAGAATGAGAACAGAAATCATGCTCCGGCGGCACGGCAGCAGCAGGAGGCCCCATTAGCTAAAGTGGTGCTTCAGGTTAAGAACAGTTTCAGGTTAAGTACGGACCTCCAGAACAAATTAAGTACAGAGGTACCACTGTACAAGGTTGGGACTGAGGGTAGATCAAAGACTACAATAAATCATGGGGATTGATGAGGATCAAATGCACATTTCCAATGGAAGTGTCTATACCCGACTTTCGCAAATCAGCCCTGATAGCATAGCCAATACTAAGCAAAGATAGCAGTCATGGTCCAAAACATATGATGGGAACCAAGTTAGGGAGGTATACTGTTGAAATGTATTGCCTTCGATCAAAGGACACTTGTAAGTGTTCCTGATAGGATTCGGCATAGCCATACACAAAGAGTCAAATAAAATGTTTTAAGTGTGTTTCAAGTGCAATATACAATGTGACACTAGATGGTGATGATGAGCCTTATGGACAATTCAAAGTGTTTTTTAAAACTCTTTTTAAAAAAGCATTTTCAGAACGATTTTTATATGTGTGTCGATTCCACCTGGGTCATCTAGTTGGCCCCTGGGAGAACAGGAAATGACCTCTAGGGCCCCTTCTAAATTTAAAGTTTTATTATAAGTGTGTCCTTGGTTAAAGAGTTTAAAGTCAAGATTGGATTCTTTTATGATTCATTTTTTAAAAGACATGCACAGGATCGTCAGGTTGTTATTGAAAATCTGTTAGTGGCTGCTAAGATTATTGTTGCAAAACACTGGAAATCTAATGGTCCACTGCCCACACTGTGGAGTGGTTGAAGGCAGTATTTTCACTTGCTGAAATGGACAAATTAACTAGATTGATACAGCAGAAATTGTGATGGACTATTCCAGAAATGGGTCCCTTTTGTTGTATATTGCAATTATGACTGAAAAAGCACTCAATTAGGGGAACATCCTTGCTTCTGTTTGGTAATTTGTGGTTTTCATAGTAGTTTAAAAAAGGTAGTAGTTATTATTAAACCATAGTTATTATTAAACAATAGTTTATATGTGCTGCATCCCTCTACAGATTCCATGTTTGTGAATATTTCTCTGCAATAGCAGCATGTGGTAATTGACATTCAAGTAAGCACACTCCACCGAGTGCTTTATATTCCATATTTGCATATCCTATAAAAGGTATCCTTTGAACTGGGTTGCGGCTCACCTAGACCAGATGTGTATTATGAATGCATGTTGTGTCCTGGTAGAGGCAATTTCACAGAAAGATCTGGGGATATACAGCAAAGTTCTTTTATTCTAATGCAAGCTTAAGAGCAACCCTTGAAATACTGAGTGATGCTGCTCTTGCAAATAGACTACAACAGTTGGACCACAGGTCTAGTTGATTCCCCATTGACCTGAGGTTTACCAACACAAGTCTGACGGTGTTGTTGCAAAACATTTCCCCATTCAGTGTTTATATATACAAATGGTGTGGGATACCCTCCATTAATTTCTGCACGGTTTATCCTGTCTGCAGAAGTAGTGTGGACAGATTGCATGGGAAAACCTCCTCTAGTCATTCCCACCTGAGAAATTCCTGCACAGCTGGCACACTGAATGGTGCCTTTTAAAGCATACCTATCAGAAGAAATCCCTCTGGAAAGGACTTTTTTTTTTAAATGCAGAATAAATAGCAACATGTCATACAGTTAAGAGAGTGCAATGAAACCTGCCAGAAAGGCCATGGGGAAAACTACAATTATTGTTGAAGTAGAGTTTATTCCTCTGCTCTGTATACTATATCTTGCGTTTCATAAAACTGTTGTCTTGGATATCTGTCCCAGAGTCTCTACCTCAGCTTTCAAGGTGCTTTCAGAAAAGGTCTCGTTTCAGAACTGAGTATTTCTTAGGCCAGAGGTGAAGACCTGTGAACCTCAAAATGTTGTTCAAGTTCTCCCAAAATCATCTACCATTTCAGGCCCTGCAGCCAGAAGATGAGGCTCCATGGGTGATTCTGCCACTGAGCGCTCTCCTTTAACATGTGACAGAACATCTTTGGTGGTGGTTCCAAGTTTGTAGAATGCCCTCCTTAGTGAGCTGTGTCTGTCTCCATCATTATTAACTTGGCAACCTTGAAATTATGTGACTGTATGTGACAGTTTTACATGTTTTTAGATACTCATTGTTTTTATTAAATAATAATAGCATTTAATTGTGTTGTTTCAGCACATTGCTATTTGGCACCTTGTGCTCCTTTGGGCATAAAAACAAGATAGAAATTTAACAATTAAGTAATTATTTAATCCCTGGCAACTGGCAATGCTAGCTGGGGATGAAGGGAGTTTTAATCCAACAGTATTTCGTGCATGGATAGCTCAGTTGGTTAGAGCATGGTGCTGATAATGCCAAGGTTGCAGGTTTGATTGTCATATGGAACAGCTGCATTGCTGGGGGTTGGACTAGATGATTCTCAGAGTCCCTTCCAACTCTACAATTCTATGACTCTAATGTCTGGAGGACCACAAGTTCCCCATTCCTACCCTAAGCCATATTACCTCTGTTGGCTTCCTCCTCTATTAATAGATTCCCTCAGGCTTACCTGGCAGCAACTGGAGGTAGCTGAAGTCTGAGCTATGTTACAAGAAAAACCAGCCCACTATGTCTAAATGCAAGGTCCTGGACTTGTGCTACAGCACACGCTTTGAGAGAAATTAATATGGCAACTAAAACCAAAACTGATCATAGGAACTTAGGGAACTGCCTTATACTGAATTAGACTGTTGGTCCATCTAGCTCAATATTGTGCTGCTTACAGTGGGGACTGCAGCAACTGAAAACAATTCTTAATGGTTTCAAACAGAAATCTTAGGTTGCAATCCTATGGAATATGCATAGAGCAGAGCGGTGGGAGGGTAGGCTGCATGCAGGGCTGTCTTTAACTCGGGGTGCAAGGGGTGCAGGGGCACCCAGGCGCTGAGTTCTGGGGGGCACCCGGCGCCCACCGCCGAAGCTGCCTAAGGTCTTAACTATCTACCTGTTATGAAATAATAAATAATTTTGATCAAGCTTGAAAAACAAAAGGACTTTTGATTTTGTGCGCTCATTTACCAAAGACGTGCCGCACCAGCAGCAGCGCTTGTCATTCACACACACAAAAAAGACCGCTCTTCTCCCCACCCACCCCTGGTGTCTGCACTCTGCCCATTCCTCTTTTTTCCTTTCTGGCTGGACTCTGTGCGATCTAGAGGCGAACAAACTGAAACTATGAAGCAGGAGTTGCCAGCTTCGTAGATGCCTGCTGGCAACTGACTGCCAGGAGGTCGCCAGAGGACTAGGGCTCTCCAGGAGCCCTCCGCCTGCCCCCCGCCTGGCCGCTCTCAACGGACCTACTTCCAACTTGCCGCCATGCCTCCCGCCGACCTCCTCACTGGCTGGCACGCCAAGGGGGACGCCCGGATTCAGCTTGCCGGCCACGCACATCCTCCCAAACATAGCACTCCTCCTGGTGCCTGGCTGCTCCCTTGAGCTCCGTGCACCCCTCTCGGGCGCCCGCCAGCTTAGATCGCCATACCGCCATGCCGGACCTGCCTGGGGCTTGGCATGAATGGGGCAGCTCAGAGGGGGGCCCTGGCCGCGCTGCTGCTGGCCACCTGCTGGCTGGTGCTGGGTCCCGGAGCCTCGCTGACCCCTCCTGGAGCTGCCCCACAGCAGGACACTTTTGTTTCTTTTCCCTCCCTTCTTTCATAAACAAGAGATAAGGCGTAGGCATGGTGTCTGACATCAGCATAATAAAAGTTAATTGGGGGGCTAAATTAAATTTGGGGGTGCTGGGAGGATCTTTGCACCCCAGCGGTGCATATGCTAAAGACGGCCCTGGCTGCATGCCTGGGCCCCCTTCTAATTCCTGGAATAGCCAGGCTAGCTTTCTGATAAGGTGATAGCCTACCGTATTTTTCGCTCTATAAGATGCACCAGACCACAAGGCGCACCTAGTTTTTGGAGGAGGAAAACAAGAAAAAAAATATTCTGAATCTCAGAAGCCAGAACAGCAAGAGGGATTGCTGCGCAGTGAATGCAGCAATCCCTCTTGCTTTTTTTTTTATAAGATATTTATTAGGATTTTTAAAATATTACAATAAAAAATGAAAAAGAAAAAATTACAAAATAAAAATGATTAAAAACACTCAGATTTTCTATTACTTATTTTTCCTTAGCTTGTTTCCCAGACCTCCTCATACCTCCCTTTCTTGTATTCCAGTTCAGTTTGTTGGTTCAGCAAATCCTTACCCTCTTTATTTATCCTAATCTTTAGTCTTAAAATAGTAACTTTAGATTTTTATCTCTTAACAACCCATTTTTCATATTCCCTTAAAGCATTACAGCTGGAAACCACTTAATTTCTATCCTACATCGTTCTAACATTCATTAATTTTACAATATTTCTGTAGATAATCTTTGAACTTCTTCCAATCTTCTTCCACCGACTCTTCTCCCTGGTCTCGGATTCTGCCAGTCATTTCTGCCAATTCCATATAGTCCATCAACTTCATCTGCCATTCTTCCAGAGTGGGTAAATCTTGTGTCTTCCAATACTTTGCGATGAGTATTCTTGCTGCTGTTGTGGCATACATAAAAAAAGTTCTATCCTTCTTTGGCACCAATTGGCCGACTATGCCTAGGAGAAAGGCCTCTGGTTTCTTCAGGAAGGTATATTTAAATACCTTTTTCAGTTCATTATATATCATTTCCCAGAAAGCCTTAATCCTTGGGCACGTCCACCAAAGGTGAAAGAATGTACCTTCATTTTCTTTACATTTCCAACATTTATTATCGGGCAAATGGTAGATTTTTGCAAGCTTGACTGGTGTCATGTACCCTCTTGCTGTTCTGGCTTCTGTGATAGCTGCACAGCCTGCATTCACTCCATAAGACGCACACACATTTCCCCTTACTTTTTAGGAGGGAAAAGGTGAGTCTTATAGAGCAAAAAATACGGTAGTTAATGGGTCATTAAGGGAACAAAGAAAATGGCTCAGTCCCAGAAGAAATATGGCTGGTAGTTAGGATAGCAAAGGCCAGAGAGTTATGTGAGCTAGAAGCAAGAAGCAGCAAGCTGGAAAGCCAGACCGATGCTTGAGTCCTCTTTAAATCCAAGGCAGCAGCTATGTTAGAAGCATTTTGGGGTGCTAATGATGTGAACCCTTCCATCATAGACTCAGGTAAATAAACTCATAGACTCATGGATAAATAAACAATAGGCCATAAAAATGACACAGTCTCTGCTGTGCCTCATTCTGAAGGAAACACTAACCCTAGGTAAGAGCCTGGAACTCCTGTAATCTCACACAGCTCAGAGACTGGGGTGGCATGTAACAGTATATATTGGGGGGGAAAGTACATACATGCATGTGTTATATCCAGGAAAATTGCTTGCAAAAATGTGTATATCAGTCAAAAATATGAACAAAATGTGGATTTTTAGAAGCATGCACACAAATGGATGTTTCCATGTGGACTTTGCAGAAGTGGGGCAAAATGAATTTGAGATTGGAAAAATAAGAAACTGATAGACACCAAAACTGAAAGATTTGTCCATCACTAGCTCCATCAAATACAAAAAATAGTCAGGCATGATGGGGCTGGAGTCCAACAACATTTGGAGGGCTATAGATCCCCACCTCTGCTTGAAGATAAGGTGCCTGAGACTGCTTCTTTTTCCTTTATTTTTCATTCCCATTCCTTTTTCCTTTGTATTATTTCTGTTGGACTGTAAGCCTGCAGGCAGGATTCTGTGTTTAGTTGTTTGTTTTTAAATCTTTGAACAGGACCAGAACATATTAGATGAAACATCGTAATCAGAGTTAAAAAATCTCTTAATATTTACTTATTATAGTTATTTGGTAAAAATCAATGTGATAATAGACAAAAAAAAAGGTGCTCCTTAATTAAATACCAGCAACACATTGACAGTCCTGTCCTGACTATGTTTACCTGGAAATAAGTCCCATAGATTTCACCTGAACACGCCCAAGACTTGGCATAGCCAGGTTCAGAATCAACAGCATGAGGTCTTGGAAAGCTCTCCTCCCTCCTCCCTCGCAGCTGTTCTGCTCGTGTCTCTACTATCATAAGGCTTATTTGGGGAGTCAAGCAGGAATGAATTTCACTTAACAAGTGCTGAATTACAGATGGTTTCATTAGCCAATTATGCAGAAATCCTGAGAACTCCAAGCAACCTGTCTCTGTGCAGGTGTCATACAGGAGGATTGGTAAGGGAAAGATGAAATTGCCTTGTCAAACTAACAGCAGGATTAATGGCAAAAATATCTTCCAGCATGCTGTAAGCCTGACATAGGCCTCATCTAAATTCCAGTGATGCAAATGGTACCCACTACCCTGGGTGTTTCTCCCCATTGGTTTTAGGTACTTGTCAGGGTGGACGTGTATCCTGCCTTACAGAGGACAGCCTCCATCTGAAAGAATCCTCAGTTTGAAAAGCTGTCTAGTCAAAGTCCAGTTTAAAGATAAAAAGAGCTTAAGAAGAGAGAGCATTGTCCTTTGAAGTTGTCCATCAACAGTTAGTGCCTAACTAGCAGATTCAGCAGACACTTTGCTTTGTTTATTACATGTATTTTTCCTATTTTGTAGGACACTTCTCTTTGTGTGTGTGTACACACACACACACACAATATAACAATACAAACAGAGAGTTACATCTTTTTTTTCTTACAAAGCCAGCAGCAAACAGAACTCATAGGTGAAAACAATAAATTTAAGTCAGCCCAAAGGCTTGGTGAAACGGAAATAAACATGTTTTTACAGTTTGCTAGAAAATTAATAAAGAAGGGGCCAGAGCAACACTGGTAGGTGAGCACCCTTTCATGCCCCTTGTCTGAAGATGGTGGGTCAGTGAGCCAGTGGCTTTCTTGAGAGGGGATGATGTAGCCTTGTGAGGATTTATCTGCAAAGCAGAAAATGAGCTTAACCTTCTGGTTCTAAGTGAGCAGCGGGGACATAAGAAGGCATCATTTTCTATTCTGCCCTGTATTTGTCGCATAAAGCACTATTTCCAGTTCCACTGCAGTTTGTCTTCTGCCAGAAACTGCATTATTTGTCTCGCTGTCCATTGTGGCAAATAACAAAACTTACATAATTAATTACATGAATTGAACAAAATTATGTTGTCATTATGTTATTCCACTCCATTAATTTCAACGTGAAGCTAACACAATATACAAACATATATACTTCTGTATGTGTGCACTTCTGCCCTACCCCAGCCTGCTCCTTTAAGATTACTAAGTTTCTCTAGTCATGTATAAGTGAAGAGGGTATGTTTCCTCTCCTGTACACAAGCTTCTCACCTGGCAAGAGAGTTAAGGGACTTCAGCAGAAGCTAACATTTTGATTGCCTCCATCTGCTTGATGTTGCTACCTTGTTCGC